AAAAGTTGTAACCATGCGTTTTTTTGCTGAACTCGCAAGATCGTGCGCGCTGATTGTTGTTGTTGAAGAAGCATGTTCGGGAACAGTGCGTTGTATATGTTTTCGAGATACTCGATATTGAAATCCTTACGAAATCTTCGGTTTTGACTAAACTTCGGCATGGGCGCGCGACCACGCGCGCGTGTGCAGTTCGCCCCATCTGTTGCAATGGGATTATTGCAATCGGACGATGTGTGATACATGGATGCGCGCACACCAGTATTTGACGGAGGCGAAGGATAGTTTCGACATCGGCTTGGTTGGGATGCTACGAGTTCATATTTAGAATGAACAACGACGGGGCGAAACCAAATGTAAATTGCACGTCAACGGGGGGGCAGGGAAACTTGGGGGGGGCGTGGGGGGGATTTTCATGTTCTTTGGTTTGAAAGAGAACCTATGTGGTGCCATCCATCTTGGGCAACACATGTGGTGCAACCTGTGTGTTGCAAATGGTTTTTACCCATGATGTGACACATCTCATGCTCTTGCAAACATCCCACCCACCCACCCGCAACTTGGTTTGCAAAACCTCTTAAGACCGTGACGGTAGGTACCACATGGCACTTGGCCACAAACCGGCGCCGACGACGACGACGACAACGCCGACGACGACTACGACGACACCGACGATGTCTCCGACGACTTCGACGACGACGACAACGACGACGACGACGACACCGACGACGACGACGACGACGACGCCGACGCCGACGACGACGACAACGACGACGACGATGACGACGCCGACGACGATGACGACGCCGAAGACGACGACGAAGTCGACGACGCCGACGACGACGTCGATGACGACGACGACGACGACGACGACGACGACGGCGGCGACGACGACGACGCCGACGTCGACGACGACGACGACGCCGACGCCGACGCCGACGCCGACGACGACGTCGCCAACGAAGACGACGACGACGACGAGCGAGGAGGGAGCACGACGACGGCGACAACGACGACAATGACGAGGGAGGAGGGAGGACGGCGACGACGCGAACGACGAAGAAGGAGGGAGGACGGCGACGCCGACGACGACAACGACGAGGGAGGAGGGAAGACGACGACGACGACGACGACGACGACGATGACGACGACGACGACGGCGACGAAATAGGAGGGACGACGACGAGACGCCGACGACGGACGACGACGACGACGACGACGACGACGACAAGGGAGAAGCAGGAAGGACGACCACGGCGACAACGACGACGGAAACGACCACGACGCCAATGAGGACGACGACGACGAACACGAGGAAAGACAGAGGACGACGTAGGCGACGACGACGACGACGACGCGGGAGGAGGGAGGACGGCGACGACGACGACGACGACGACGACGCAAGAGCGCGCGCGCACGCTTTTGTTGAAAATCCGTGTTGCGAAACCTTGGCTTTTTGTAGGTTTTTTGGACACACGATTTTAGAATCCTTCCGAACTCGATGGGTTCTGAAGGATTTCGGCATACGCGCGCGCGTCTGCACTTCGTCCCGTTTTTTGCAGAGGGTTCTCGCGACGGCACACGCGCAAGGGCGTTCGACAGATGCGCGCTCGCCAAGCTTGTTTGGTAGCATGTTGTGGAAATCTTGAAAAACCTATGGCTTTCTTGAGATTTCGCAACAGCTCGCGCGGAAGCTTTTTTAGCAAATCAATGTTGCGAAACCCTGTGTTTTTGTATGTTGTTGTATGTGTTTTTTGGAAACTCGATTGCGAAATCCTTCCGGCACCGAAGGTATTTGAAGGATTTCGGCATGCGCGCGCGACGACGCGCGCGTGTGCACTTCGTTTTTTTTGTGCAAGGGATGCGTGAAAAAGTGCTATGTTAGAACAAAATGTCACCGCATACTGTTTTGTTTACTACAAGGGAACCTCAGGGGGGGACACCGGCTGGCCTGGGACATTGTGATTTCATATTTAGGATGGACGTGTGGTCAGAATGATATGTGATTCACATACCCGAAAGGGGGACCGATAACGCCGGGGGGTAGATCCTATTCTGTTTTTAGAAAGGAGAATATATGTTCTGCTCGACGGGCGGCGACGTCCACAAACCACCATCCCCAGGGCAAGCATTGCTTGAAGAGTATAAAGAGATGAAACATACATGTATACGAGTATTACGTAGACATGTACGTGCGTTTACAGCATGGACAGTTTTACATATCAATGCATTAGGATACGCATTATCCACACAATGTCAGACACGTACATACATACGTACATACATACATGCATGCATATATACACAAATACAGACGTACGTACATACATTCATACATGCATGAATATATACATACACATATACATACACAGATACGTGTGCATATACATGAACACATACATGTACATATACATATAGAAGTTATGCACATGCGAACACGCACGTTAACACATGCAGCATGTGTCAAGGGCGTGGACTACACCGATGCATGGGAAAGGAAACAAAAGCAGGAAGGTGCATTGCTATGAAGTCGCCCCCACCCCCATGAGGCCGCGAGGGGTCGCTGGAAGCACCCCCCGAGCATCCTACTCGCAAAGTGTTCACACGACTCAGGTCCTCCTCCTCCTCCTTCTTCTCCTCCTCCGTAGTAGTAGTACATTCGGGCCCGCGTTCGCCTCTCTGATGCGTCCTGCTGCCGCCGCCGCCGCCGCCACCGCCGTCTCGTCGCCGCCGCCGCCCGAACTTGGATTTGTCGTCCCGCCGTGGTCGGTCGTTCTGGGGTCCGACCGCTCCTCCGTAGTGGCATAAGGGCGAGGCCAAACGAGAGTGATGATTCGATGATTCGCCTGATCACTGCGAAGTACGGGCCGCCGAACTCGTGGAGCCGCCCCTGGCAGTGCCCTTGCCAGTCCGATCGATCCGATTCGATGTCGATTTAGGCCAGCCCGATACGATTCGATTCCGACTTGCCGATGGCTATGTTGTGCATCTTGGCGCGGCCGATCCGATGACGCGCCCGTCCCGTGGCGCACCATATCCCGAGACCAGAATCTTCCTCCGCCCCCTCGTCCTACAAGTGCTCGGCAAAGGCGTGCTGGGTGCTCATGGGGGGCCCTGGGGGTCCACGGAGGCCCGTTTCCTCGAGCAGGTGGCGACCCCCCTAGTGGTGACCCCTCTCTGGGCTCCAGGCCTCCCAGATGGGGTTAGAGCAGATGCGGTCGGAGGATCGCGCCGCAGCGCCGACGCATCGGCCACTCGGCTCAATGTTGAACCCGTTTTGATCTGCCTGGGATCGTTCCCTCCACCCAGGGCCGCCCAGAGCGATGTTCCTCTGACACCACCTCCGGCCCTGCCCCACCTCTGCCCCCCCCCCCCTCCCTCGGGAAGCGAGGGCGCCGCCGTCGGGCTCTTCCTCCCGATCGCTGCCTCCGCGCCCTCATTCCTGCCGATCCTCCTCCTCCTCCTCCTCCTCCTCCTCCTCCTCCTCCTCCTCCTCCTGTTCATGCTCCTGCTCCTGCTCCTGCTCCTGCTCCTCCTCATCCTCTTCCTCGTTCCTCTTCCTCTTTATCCTGGATAAGATTCCTCATCCTCCTCATCATCATCATCAGCATCATCATAAGTATCATCAACGTCATCATCAGCAGCAGCATCATCATCTTCCTCCTCATCTTAATCATAATCAGAATCATAGGCATCACCATCATCAGCATCATCATCATCATCGTCGTCATCATCCTCCTGATCCTCATCCTCGCCCTCGTCCTCGTCCTCGTCCTCATCATTATCAGCATCATCACCATCATCATTATCATCACCATTGTCATCAGCAGCATCATCATCGTCATCGTCATCATCATCGTCGTCGTCATCATCATCATCGTCCTCATCATCATCCACGTCATCATCCTCATCATCCTCATCATCACCATCATCGCAATCATAATCCTCGTCATAATCATCATCATCACCATTTCCATCATCATCATCATCCTCATCATCATCATGTTCATCATCCTCAGCATCATCATTATCATCAACACCATCATCATCACCATCAACAGTATCATCCGCATCCTCATCATGATCCTCATCCTCGTCCCTATCTTCGTCGTTGTCCTGATCTCCATCATCATCATCATCATCATCATCATCATCATCCTCATCATCCTCATCATCATCATCGTCATCGTCATCACCATCATCATCATCTTCATCATCATCCTCATCATCATCCTTAGTATCCTCGTCCTCCTCCTCGATCCTCCGCGATCCTCCTCCGAGATCCCAGATGCCCCTCCTGGCCGGCTGAGACGCCCCGGCCGCACGCCTCCGCTGTCCCCGTCCGCGCGGCGCGGTCTTCCTCCTCCTCCTCCTCCTCCTCTTCCTCCTCCTCAGCATCCTCTTCATCATCCTCATCATCATCAGCATCATCATCCTCATGATCAGCATCAGCATCCTCATTATTATCACCATCCTCATCATTCACATCATCATCATCATCATCATCATCAGCATCAGCATCAGCATCAGCATCATCATCATCATCATCATCATCATCATCATCATCATCATCATCATCATTATCATTATCATCATCATCATCATCATCATCATCATCATCATCAGCATCAGCATCAGCACCATCAGAATCAGCATCATCATAAGAATCGGCCTCGTCGCTGTCTTTATCCGCATCATCATCCTCATCAGCATCATCATCCTCGTCATCATCATCATCATCATCATCATCATCATCATCATCATCATCATAATCATCATCATCCTCATCATCATCCTCATCCTCATCCTCATCCTCATCCTCATCCTCATCAGCAGCAGCAGCAGCATCATCCTCATCCTCATCCTCCTCCTCCTCCTTGATCCTCCGCGGTCCTCCTCCTCGATCCCAGACGCCCCTCCTGGCTGGCCGAGACGCCCCGGCCGCACGCCTCCCCTGGCCCGGTCCGAGCGCCGCAGCCGCTTCCTCGCTCCGCGCGCCCGAGGCGTCCTACGCCGGGGGGCTCGTGCGCCCGAAGAGCTCCCTGGACTCCCGGGCGCTGCGAGGCGCCCGCGGGAATCCCAGGGGCTGTTCAAGCGGCTTGCGCCATTCCGCCGACCCCCCGAGGAGATGCGCGAAGTCCACCGGTGAGGTCCTCTGCCTCTCGGGAGAAACGTTCGAGGGGCCTGTGGGGGCGTGGCCTGGGCGTCGTGGAGCCTCTTTGGGGGTCTGCTGGGTGCCCGCCGGCTGTCTCGGGGGCCCTCTTGGGGCGGAGGGCCCGAAGAGCTCCCTGGCCTCCCGGGCGCCGCGAGGCGCCCGCGGGGCACAGGGGCGATGTCCATCCTCCTCCTCCCTCCTCCTCCTCCCTCCTCCTCCTCCTCCCCTCCTCCTCCTCCTCCTCCTCCTCCTCCTCCCTCCCTCTCCTCCTCCTCCTCCTCCTCCTCCTCCTCCTCCTCCTCCTCCTCCTCCTCCTCCCCCGGGCCGAGGCTGTCGTTCGAGGTGTTCGGGCGTGTTCGTCGGTTCCTGGAGGTTCTCCAGGGTCGCGCCCAGATCGTCCCGAACGGCCGGCGGAGGCCCGAGTTCGGGTCCGAGAGCTTGAAGACGAGGAGCACCAACTGGCTCGATCCGATCTGGCTCCGATATTCCGACGATCTGGTGCGGCCCGATGCTTGCGTGGCGCTGTTGTGCGTCATGGCGCGGCCGATCCGGGTCGGTTCCGACTCCGTGCCGCCGCCATCCGCCACCTGACGCCGACGCCGACGACGACGATGACGACGACCGACGACGACGACGGCGGCGGCGGCAGCGGCGACGACGACGACGACGGCGGCGACTCCGACGCACATCTCGATTCGACCCGACTTCCCGATGCGCTGCTAGCTGCGTCGGAGTTCTTGCTGGGCCGCAGCCCAGGACATGTCTGGGGGGCGAGATTTGGGGGGAGAGGGGGGGGGGACCCATCCAGGCGTGGCGGAAGATTGCGGCGGGCGCTTGCTCCCTACATGAGGGCGTTCCAGAGAGGGGCATCACGCTCGAGGGAATAAGTCTAAGAAGGAGGAGGAGAAAGAGGAGGGGGAGGAGGAAAAGAGGAGGGGAGGAGGAGGAGGAGGAGGAGGAGGAGGAGGAGGAGGAGGAGGAGGAGGAGGAGGAGGAGGAGGAGGAGGAGGAGGAGGAGGAGGGAGGAGGAGGAGAGGAGGGGAGGAGGAGGAGGAGGGGGGGGGAGGAAGGGGAGGAGGGGGAGGAGGAGGAGGAGGAGGAGGAGGAGGAGGAGGAGGAGCCAGAGGAGGAGGCGGAAGAAGTTAGGTCGTCCCTCTACGCGCCCAGATGGGCGCAGCCTCTCGGGCAGAGCGCCCGTTTGGTGACGTACACACGCGTCTCTCTGCAGAGCTTGCTGGCCACCTGTAGTCGCGAGATCGCCCGGGACGAACCTGGTGATATTTATCTTGTGTAAAATCCGTTTGGGGGCAATTGATGGGAAAAGTGGGACAAATTTGGGGAGGAGGAAGAGATGAGGAGGAGGAGGAGGAGGTGGAGGAGGAGGAGGAGGAGGAGGAGGCGGAGAGGACGACGAGGCGGACGAGGAGTAGGAGTGGGACGGCGAGAAAAGGATGAGGAGGAAAGCAGCAATTTCCCCCAGGTGGGAGCAGAGAGGGCGTCCTTTTCGCCCCCATCACTCCCCCCTTCCTCCCCCACCTTTTCTCCCGTATCTCATCATTCCCCAAACAGTGTTTGCACTCTATGGGTTTCTCGTTTGTCTTCTGGGGAACTGGGCCTGTGGGCCGCTCTGGCCACCATGTGGCCGCCGTCGCCGCCTCGTCGGCGCCCGTCGCCACCCGTCGCCTGGGCCTCTGGGCCGCTCTTGCCGCCGTCGCCGCCTCGTCATCGCCCGTCGCCTGGGACCGCAGGCCGCTCTGGCCGCCGAGTGGCCGCCTCGTCGCCGCTCGCCGCCTCGTCGCCAGGCGGCGACGAGGCGGCGAAGATCACACCATATAGACTGCACCATCATATCGAATGGCCTTCGGCACATCCCACCACCGTGCCTGGGTTGTGGGCATGGAGCCTATTGGATGTTCGGTGGGATCCCGTGTGAGGCTTCTCGGGGGCATCTTGGGGGCAGTTTGGACGCCTCTTGGGAGCCACTTGGAGCCTTTTTGGGTGCCTCTTGGGGGCCTCTTGGGGGCCTTCCTTCTTTGGGGCCCCATTTGGGGCCGTCGTAGAGCCCTCTTGGGCCGTTTTGGGCGCCTCTTGGGTTGTCTCGGGGCCCCCATTTGGGCCGTTTTGGGGCGGTCTTGAGGGCCTCTAGGGCCGTCTGGGAGCGTCGGGGGGCCGAAAAGGCGAGAACGCCAAAATCCTTCAAACCCTACGGAAGATGAATGATGTCGACCTGTGTTGGCCTAGTGGGGCCCTCTTGGAAAGCCTCTTGGAGGCGTCTTGGCGGCCTCTTGGGCCGTCTTGGGGCCATCTTGGGCGTCTTGGGGCGATAATGCGAGGATTCGGAGCCTTCTTGTGCCGTCTTAGGGGCCTCTTCACTATCGATCCCACGATCGAGTTCACTACCGATCTCACTCAACGGGACACCACGGGACACCTCGGGACACCTGTCGATCCCACTACCGATCTCACGATCGATCTCACTCAGCGGGACACCACGGGTCACCTCGGGGCACCACATCGATCTCACTATCGATCTCACTGTCGATCTCACTCAAGGAGACACCACGGGACACTTCGGGACACCTGTCGATTTCACTATCGATCTCACTATCGATATCACTCAACAGGACACCACGGGACACCTCGGGGCACCACATCGATCTCAGTATCGATCTCACGATCGATCTCACTCAACGGGACACCACGGGACACCGCGGCCACCGGCCGCCGGCGGAGAAACATTTGGTCCGGCCGCCGCCCCGCCACAGGAGGATTTCGGGACACCAGCGGGACACCGGCGGGACACCGCGGGCCACCGGCCGCCGGAGGAGAAACATGTGGTCCGGCCGCGGCCCAGACACAGGAGGATTTCCTCTCGCCCGCCCACTCAGCTTCGCCTCGCCCGCACGCACGCCCTGCACGCACGACACGAACCCGAAACCGAAATCGATTTCCTGGTAGGGGGGTCTCCGTTTCACGTCGGACTCATCCCCGAACCTCCGATATCTAAGTAAATGATATCTGAAAAAACCTCGACACTCATGTTCAACAAAAGCGTGCGCGCGCTCTTGGGAATTCGGGAGAAAACCATAAGTTATTCCTTGCGCGCGTGCTGGGGTGGCACGATCCGTGTCAAATACTACCATGCGAGCCACTCTCGCGCGCCTGCCGCGCGCGCATTTAGAATTCCTTCGAAAACCTTCATCACCGACTCGAAGACGCCGTCATCGTCGTCGGCGTGATCACCATCGGCGCCGTCTCCTTTCTAAAAAGAGAATAGACTCTACCCCCCCCCAGCGTTATCGGTACCCCTTTCGGGTATATAAATCATAAATGATTACGACCACATGTCCATCCTAAATATGAAATCGCAATGTCCCAGGCCAGCCGGTATCCCCCCCCTGAGGTTCCCTTGTAAAAAAACACTATGCGGTGACATTTTTTGTTCTAACATAACATGTTTCACGAATCCCTTGTAAAACATACGACGAAGTGCACACGCGCGCGTCGTCGCGCGCGCATGCCGAAATCCTTCAAAAACCTTTGGTGCCCGAAGGATGTCGCAATCGAGTTTCAAAAAAAGCATACAAAAACACAGGGTTTCGTAACACTGATTTGCTAAGAAAGCATACGCGCGAGCTCTTGAGAAATCTTCGGAAAACCATTGTTGTTTCAAGATTTTCACAACATGCTACCAAACGGGCGTCGCGCGCGCGCATGTCGAAATCTGTCGAACGCCCTTGCGCGTGTGCCATCGCGAGAATCCTCTGCAAAAAATTGGACGAAGTGCACACGCGCGCGCCGTCGCGCGCGTACGCCGAAATCCTTCAAAACCCATCGGTTTCGGAAAGATTTCAAAATCGCGCGTCCAAAAAACCTACAAAAAAACAAGGTTTCGCAACACGGATTTTCAACAAAAGCGTGCGCGCGCGCTCTTGCGGCGTCGTCGTCGTCGTCGTCGCCGTCCTCCGTCCTCCCGCGTCGTCGTCGTCGTCGCCTACGTCGTCCTCTGTCTTTCCTCGTGTTCGTCGTCGTCGTCCTCTTTGGCGTCGTGGTCGTTTCCGTCGTCGTTGTCGCCGTGGTCGTCCTTCCTCCTCCTCCCTCGTCGTCGTCGTCGTCCGTCGTCGGCGTTTCGTCGTCGTCCCTCCTATTTCGTCGCCGCCGTCGTCGACGTTGTCGTCGTCGTCTCGTCGTCGTCTTCCCTCCTCCCTCGTCGTTGTCGTCGTCGGCGTCGCCGTCCTTCCTCCTGCTTCGTCGTTCGCGTCGTCGCCGTCCTCCTTCCTCCCTCGTTGTCGTCGTTGTCGTCGTTGTCGCCGTCGTCGTCATCCCTCCTCCCTCGTCGTCGTCTTCGTTGGCGACGTCGTCTTCGTCGTCGTCGTCGGCGTCGGCGTCGTCGTCCTCGTCGTCATCGACGTCGGCGTCGTCGTCGTCGCCGCCGCCGTCGTCGTCGTCGTCTTCGTCGTCGGCCGTCTTGCTTTTCCGGCCTTCTTGGCGCGCTCTTGAGACGCCCCCGAGCGCTCCAAGACGACCCCGGAGCGATATCTGTGCTCGGTCCCGCATGGGTTTTGTAAACCAAGTTGCGGGTGGGTGGGTGGGATGATTGCGCGAGCAGGGGAGTTGACAACTTCAAGTTCGGCAAGTGATTAAAATTCTCTTTTCTAAAAAGAGAATAGACTCTAACCCCCCCCGGCGTTATCGGTACCCCTTTTTCGGGTATGTAAATCATATATGATTATGACCACATGTCCATCCGAATCTGAATTTACACTGTCCCAGGGGGGCCGGTATCGACCCCCCTGAGGTTCCCTTGTAAAAAACAATACGCGGGAACATCTGTTGTTCAAACATAACATTTTTTTCGCGAATCCCTTGCAAAAAATGAGACGAAGTGTACACGCGCGCGCCGTCGCGC